AAAAAAAAAAAGAGATAAGGAAAGCGAATAATATACTAATCAGCTTTATGAAAAATAATTTTTAGCGCACATCCGCATAAGCAAATTTAGACTTACACATTTTTTTTCCAAATTTTCTAAGGTCTAAACTGTGCAAACTTTGTCAGCAAAAAAATTTTAGCAAAAAAAAACTTTTTAAAAAACACTCATTTTCTGCCTTATTTTTTTAGACAGTGATCAACACAGTTTTCTAGATTTTCTAAGATCTTATAGTAAGCTAAAGTCGAAAGCCTGTCCAGCAAGCAGTTTATAATTGCTTTCTTTAATCAGAGAGTTTATTTTGTTAAATTTAACTACAGTCAGTAGACAGTCAAGCAAATGCTGTGAAAGAGATCATTTAAATATAGATTAACATTTAGCAAAGACAAAAAAATAACTAGTCTGGAACTGATCGAGCATAGAAGAGCAGGTAAAATGAAAGAAAAAAAAATAAATTAGAAATTTTAATAAAAATAAACTTGAAAGGAAACTGTTAGTGAAACATCAAAGAGCGCAGTGTTGAACAGTTAAAACTGAAGAAAATCAGATTTAAGCAAAAAAAATTTCTGGTTTTACTTTTTCCAAGATAAACTTTAGTTTAGTTGACAAAGTTTTTTAGAATTCAACTTTTTTATAGTTCTTTTTTTAGCTATAATATTACGATTAGACGGTTAAATAATACAATCAAATTGTTGACAAACAGTTTACTGAGTTCAACAACTTAGTTACTCTTCGACCACAGAGAAATTTTTTGCAGTTATTTAGTTCTGATATTGATAAATATACATAAGTTCCCTTCCAACAGTTTTATTTTATCATTACTTCCCAATAATGTAGAAGAAATTATATTATTTAAAGTGCTTTTCAAAACCACCGAAAAACATCGATTAAAACTGAAATATACGGATTATGCAAATACACATCAATACAGTTGACTGGAAAAAGCAACGAACCGATAGGACACTGTAGGAGAGAAGCTGACAAGGGCGACTCTTCAAATTTTAGAATTTTGTCTGCAGTCACGACACAAGCCGTTGATATCTTCACAAAAACAGCGCTTTTTAAGTATGGTTTAATAGTATTAAAAAAGAAAATTGACCCTTGATGAACTAGGCAGATCAAACAGCACTCTCATATTTGAATTTTTAGTATCTGTAAGGGATAAAGTTTTCTTTTGTCATTTCCGTTATTTTTGTCAAGTGGCATTTTCCACAACTGATACTTAGCACTGAAGATGTAATTAAAAAACAACCTGATTCAAATGTTCTTCTCCAACAAATAAGCGAAACAATAAGTAAATAAGACGGTTTTTGACAAAAAATAAAGCTACATCTAAAAAATTACACTAACTCATCGACAGGCTTTTGAACACCTAAGAAAATAAGGCAATAGTTTTGTGTAAACTTTTGCAGAAAAACTGTTGAGCCCAAACTGAAAGCAACTTTGATCCTTAATTAGTT